AATTTAATATAGAAAGCTATTGTCTATCGAACATTTTTAAACCAGCAAGGAAAGTCGAAAAATCGGGCGGGCCGACTTTATGTATATATTTAGTAGAGCATCACATAACAAATAAAAGTTTATATGGGGAATTTGTAAGAATTAAATCATACCAACTATGATGGTAATTATAGTTTAAAGACCAAAGGAATTAATTTATGGGAGGATTATGCTCCTCTGAATCGATTCCTAATAAATTTTCAGAGGCATTTGTGCCTTTTCAATTCAGGCTTGTATTAACTATTTGGTTCATAATTTATATGAAATCGGATAATGATATATATGGGAGCTATATCCAAATATGAACCGATCTCGATAAAATATAGCAAGGTATTTCTGAGTTGTATTTGATATATTTTCAGAGTGCATACAGGGTGAGTTAACAAAACTGTAACAAAGTCAAACGCCATACCTTTTACATTTTTTTAAAATTTTTTTTTAATGAAAGCAAAATACATCGGAAATAGCATCGTATTTTAAAATAAATTTAGATTTGTTTGAATTGGTCACCTTTGGCACGAATTATGGCCTTCAAAATGCCAATGAAACTGAAACCAATGAAACACGCGGCCCATATGTTGCTCTGCGGTATTTTGGCCCATTTCCGGCGAAGCGCTTGCTTGGATTGATCGACGCTTTGGTATTTTTTAGTACCAACCTGGCTTTTCAAAATACTCCAGTCACAATGGTCCAACGGATTGGTATCAGGAGATTTTTGTGTCCATTGGCCGCTGGAACTGAAGCGAGGAACCTCACTTTGTGGGTGGCGCGTGCTGAGTCCTGATGGAATATCAGCGGCCAACATTTTTGCACGATAATATTCTCATTTATTCTGATACCACGGTCGATTAATACGAGGGGAGAGCGACCATCGGCTGTTATGGCGGCCACACCATCATTATGGCCGGCGCTTGTTTCTGGTGGCCAACCGAAGGTGCACATTTTCAGCTGACCTTTTTGACAAGTAAAAACGATCACTTTGTTTGTTTACAAGCTGTTGGACAACGAATGTTTTCTCATCGGAGAAACCCAAATTCGGCAGTTCACCACTTTCGCCCAAACGCAACTATTCTTTTCTTTCTGTTGCCGTGTAAGTTCACTTTTTGGAATTGTAATGGCTTTCCCCCGAGCTCATTTTTCAATATTTGCCGAATGGAATATTGCGATGTATTCAGTTCACTAGAAACAAAAGATTTATTCACATTTAAATGCTGGAGTGCTCTAACGACAGCCACTTGTGGTTTTCCAGCCAAATATAAAAAAATCACACTATCACGCTTGAATTCCATCACAAATAAGTTTTTTTTTTCTGGAAAATTATCAACAAAATGCTTTTGTACGTGTATGGGAGCTATATACAAATATGAACCGATCTCAATCAAATTTGACAAGGTATTTCTGGGTTGTATTTGATATACTTCCCCCTATATCGTCGGTAGGAGTGCATATTACGGCTGCGGATGGAATTTGGCATTTACGACCAAATCGAGCCTATAAACAAGTATGTCAAATTTGGTGAAAATCGGTTCTGATATAGGTATAGCTCCCATACATATTGTTTATCCGATTTTTTTATTTTGTTATATGAAGCTCTACTGAATGTGCAAAGGGGTTTAGAGTATAATAAAGTTGGCGCGCCCGACTGTTAGGCTTTCTTTATTATTTTATTTTTTTATTTTATTTAATATTATTTTACTATATTAATTTCGTTTGGTTTCCGTATGGCATGATAATTATAATTGATATTTTCATAATATTAAATTGTAATTCATTATCAGGAAATTTGACCCACTTCTTTAAGCAATTTTCCCAACAATCATAAATTCTATATAATTAATTAATTACAAAAAAAGGATAGAGATATTTTTGTTTATTATTAAAAATTCCTAACTTTGGTTAATAATAACACTACCCTATAGATCCGTACACATATAATTTCATTAACACCTTACTTTCAATTTCGTTCGTTTCTACTGCCTTCCAACCAAAGTCTTCAGAGTACATAAAAAACACACGGCCTGCAAAACATCATTAATAACCGAAAATTGTCGAAATGGACAACACGAAAACAAATAAATAATTAATGCATCTTCCACAAAAAAAAGAAACAACAACTTTTTCAAAAGCATTTTACAACTAATAATCAAGAGAACAGAAATAGATACTGAAAAAGCGTGGCAACGCAAACTTGAGTTTGTTAGACAGGCCGGCCATCATCCATTTTGTATGGATTTCAACATTTGAATAGAAAAAGAGCTTCTGGCGTTTCGGAATATTAATCAATTGACTTAATTACATTGGGTCAAACATTTTAGAGGTCAAAATGAAACATGAAATGTGGCATAGGCAATAAAATGTTATTAACCACTAACCAGCAGCAAAAGTTGTATGGAATGGTAGATCTATTTCAAAGCAATGGAGGTAAATAAAAAACAAGTGAAAAGGGCGTTAAGTTCGGGCCGTCCAAACTTTTGATAACTTTTATCTTTGGAGGAAGAAAGGTCTCATTATTTCTGTGCTTTTAGAAAAAATTGTAAAGAAGAAGATAATCTTAGGCCTTTTTAGCTATAGGAAAACCTATCCTACCAAAGTTGAATTTAAATATAATAACACATCGCATGTCAACTCTACTGTTATAATTTGTACAGACTCTCAAAGACGGCAATCCTGTCGACCATGTAGGAAAGTAATTCATTTTATATCGATAATAGTTTCGGAGAAACGACTATTTTTTATACCCTCAGCCATATGGATACAGGGGGTATATATCATTTGATGTGGCCAAATCGTGCCTCATCGAAATAACGGTTTTAGACGCGGTCCGCCGTCCATCTGTCCGTCTGTATGTCTTCTGGCTGGTGCGCACGATAACCCTCGAAGGGAGTATCCGATTTGATCCAAACATGGTACAACGTAATATTTTTATCAAACTTACATCGAATCCGGAGATGGGCAATATCCACTCCTACTGGCACCTCCCCCACAAAAGTTTAAATTTTCCAAAAAAAAGTATTTTACTGCACAGAAAAAGAAAGGATAATCCGATTTCGCTCTAACTTTGCAAATCATAATATTTACATCAGTGTTAGATCAGGTGCTAAAATGGACAATATCGGTGCACTCCAAATACATCCCCCACAAAGGGTCTAACTTTTGAATAATAAGAATTCTTATAAAATGTGATGTAAGAGTCCGATTGTCTTTAAATTACATCCATCACATCATTTTTATTAACCCATGGTCTGGTTCGAAGATGGAATATGTCGGCCCACTCATTCTGGTACCTCCTCCACAGAGGATCAACATTTTTAAGATCAATGAAGTCGTGGCACATCTCAATTTTCTATCAACACCAGATCTGTTATAAAGATGGCAGAGATCGGATCATTTGTTCTGGTACCTCTCCCACAAAGGATAACGTTTTTGAATAACCGGTCATAAAATTGGAAATGAGCATCCCGTTCTCTTCATATTTGACACATCGCATTATGTCTACCATCACAAGATTTGCTGTTATGATGGAATATATCGGTCCACTCCTTCTGGTACCTCCCCCACAAAGGGTGAAAATTTTGAATCTCCATGATGCTCATAAAACGCGAAATTAACATTCGATTCCATTCAGACTTGGTACATATCAATATTTCCATCAACACGAGATCTGTTATAAGAATGGTAGAGATCGGATCTTTTTTGCTACCTCACCCACATAGGGTTCAAGATTTTAAAAAACAAAACGCTCAAAGAAATCGAAATAAGCAACTCACTTCAAATTTCACACATACAAACGTTTTTGCGTGTCAGCGGGTCGTCATGCTAGCGTGTTAGCCTGTGTGTAGGACTGATGCACTGCAGGTGCTAGTGGAGGACAAGGTGGAGGAACAGTGACAAGGGAAGGGCGACATTCGAATTTATTCGTGACGCAACGTTCGTACTGGGCCAGCCAGACTTTCGCTTCGGCTTAAGTACTGGTTTCTTGCTGACGGGGCACGGCTCTCTCAATGCATTTCTGCATAGGAGAGGTCTTGCCCAGACGGATTTATGTAGTTGCGGGATGACTGAGGACTAGGTGCATGTACTGACGGAATGCCAGTACTATAATGACATTAGATGTTAAGCCAATATGGGTATTACGTATGGATGGATTTCAGTGGGTCCTTGAAGACGATCGGACCTTTAGATGTTTAAGTAATTTTGCGCGTGAAGTATTTAATAGAAGGACAAGATTTAGTGGAGGGTTCCCGCACATAGTGGACGGTGGAGCGCGGGTTGTTGGGCCAGTTTGGTCCTTGGACCTTTGGGATGATTGCTGGTGTTCCTTTGTGGATGTTGTGTAGGCTATCCGTAAGGGTAGTCCTGTTTATTTTTTGTGTTGTGCACTCCGTTGCTGTGGTCCAAACCACCGCATCCAAATAACGTGCGAGCGAATTGGTACTCACTTTTAAGGGGGTGTTAGTGGACGCATTGCATTCACCCGGTGCTAAGACCAATGTGAGATAGACCTCAAGGTAGGTGCTCACATAAAACAACACACAGGTATAGTCCAAACCTGGCACGTCGCAATATTTATATCATATTTGTTTATTTAAAAAAAAGTTAAAAAATCCCCCATTCTTGTTAGGGAAACTTCAAATGTATTAGTCGCATTTGCTCCACACTAATATCCCTTCGTCTACAACTTTAAAAAGGCGAACGTTAACAATTCCGATAGCAATCAAAAATCAATTGGCAGATGTCGATATTTCTTTTACAAATCACGTAAATCACCACCCAAACGAATTATCTCCAACATTCACACCGTAACCAATTAGGCCAATAACAATAAAAATAGAAAAAAAAAAAATTAAATTAAAAAACTGGCTAATGATGGGGGTTCAAAACAAAAATACACCCAGGCACACACACAAACACACACAAAAAACATAGAAGTCGTGCCAAATCAAGTCAAAAAGAAAGAAAATAAAAATTTATTCAATTTTCAAAAAAACAAAAAAATGTGATTTTATAAATTGAACTAAAACACGAAACAATAAATCTAAGCCCATTTTTAATTGTGGCCCAAAATCGAGAAAAAGAAGAAAAAGGGAATCAACACACGCCAGCCGGCGGCAGATACAAAGAATGGTAACTGATGGCAGCAACGCAGAAAAAGGCAATCTAAATTCGAACATTGAAACCAGGTGCTTGGTTTTTGGTTTTGCATGAATGGCGAGAAAATTGAAAACTTTTACCGCACACAGACGGCCAGGGCCAGCCAGCCAGCCAACCGAATCTCTTTCTAATTTCCGATTGAATGGCCGTGGATCAAAACAAATTCAGTGAGTGAGTGCTTTTCATTGTCTTCTTGTCCAGTTACAAATAAATTTTATTATCGTTTAACAATTTACAATTGAAGTGGAGAAAACAACAACAACAACAACAACACAAACCATGACACGCCAAAGCAATGCCCCGCCATCATCATCGGCAACGTCACCAACGACTCACTGACTACCAGCACAACTGGAGCTCGTTCACACATCAGTTGAAAATTCTATTTGTATTGAATTTCAAATGATGCCACTTTGGTTTCAATTTCAATTTTAACCACTTCTACCACTCGCAACACACGGACACACGTCTGTCCAGTTTTTTTTCGCTCTCTGCAACATCCCCCAACCCCGCCATGCATTTCCATTGGAATGTATTGCATTGTGCTGGTATTTGGGCGCTAGAGAGGGTGGAGGTGTAGCAGAAGGTGGGTGTATCTTTCATGGTCTCTACAAAATAATTAAAACCAACCAAAGCGCTGTAACGCATTGGAAAAATGTGAATCAGGAAGTAGAGAGGGTTTTAGTTCAATGTGATTTACATGAAGTCAAAATACATTTTAAAGAGATTTTTCACAGTACGAGGCAGGCAGGGATTTGTAAATAATTAATTTAAACTGTGGAGGTGAAATTTTTACCACCAATAATTATACCCCCCACCATAGTATGGAGGGTATATGAAGTTTGTCATTCCGTTTGTAACACCTCCAAATATACATTTTAGACCCCACAAAGTATATATATTCTTGATCAGCATAAAATTCTATGTCGATTTATCAATGTCCGTCCGTCTGTCCGTCTGTGGAAATCACTCTTGCTTCCGAACGAAATGAAGTAGGTTGATAAAATTTTACTCAAATGTGTACTATGTCTGCAGGACCTTTGGTATCAAAAAAAAATGTGCCATGTAGGTCCACGTCTTCGTATAGCCCCCATATAACGGTATCTCCCGATATTCGGTATTTTGATGATTTCGCGACATTATTTACCGGAATTGTTTCAGTTTTAGTACTTGAAGTTCGTAATGAATACTACATCCTAAGACAAAAAATGAGCCATGTAGGTCCACGTCTTCATATATCACCTCCCGATATTCGGTATTTTCATGATTTTAGCGACATTATTTACCGGAATTGTTTCAAATTTCGCATTTGAAGTTCGTAATGAATACTACAGCCTATTACGTAAAATTGTCTGTGCAGGTCCACGTCTTCATATAGCCCCCATATAACGGTACCCCCTATATTCGGTACTTTGATGATTTTAGCGACATTATTTACCAGAATTGTTTCAAATTTCGCATTTGAAGTTCGTGAAGATCGATATTACAGCCTATGATAGAAAATTGCCTGTGCATTATAAACAGATTTTTTTTTCAAATTTCGCATGTGAATATTGTAATAGCTTGTGACAAAAGTTGCCTATGCAGGTCCACATCGTCGTATAGACTCTAATATACGGCTATATTAGGTATTTTCAAGATTTTAACAGATTTTTAAGGGATTTTAGTTTTTTGAAAATTATTAAATTTGTACCAAATGGTGGAGGGTATTCAAAGATCGACCTGGCCGAACTTACAGCTTTTTTACTTGTTTTACTTAAAACATTATTACTTTCTTTTCAAATATATGCTACTCCATTTTTAATTACAAAAAGCAAGACACTTTAAATAAAACAGGTACTTTATACAGAAAATTTTGAAAAAAAAAAACTTTTGCAAGGAGAGTGAGAACTTTTAGGTTCTGACCATCAATGGCGTGGGTTACGAAGTAATGGGTCAATATTGTCCATTTCGTGTCGGACCTAAATACTCACTTCACTTTATATAAGATATGTGATAATTTTTGAACACACATGGATGGGCAAGCTTACAAGAAACACGCACATTCATATCCAATTTGATGCGAAATCATAAATTCCATATTCATCTCAGGTTTCTGGTTGAGAGAAATATTTACATATAGCAAGTTGTAAAGAATCACTGATTTGTTTCAAAAGTTTTGAAAATTGGGACCCTTTGTGGGTGGGGAAGGGGTTCGCACATATATAATCATCATATCAGATATTGTCTTAGCAAAAAAATTTGTGAGTGTAAAATTTGAAGTTCGATACTTAATTTGCTTTCTTTGAGCGTTGTCTTTATCAAAATCTTTAACCCTATGTGGGAGAGGTATCAGAAGGGGTTCGCACATATACATAATATTCATAACACATCTTATGTTGATAGAAATATTGAGGTATACAGGGTTGTCCATATTCGACGGACCCATCTGGCAACGCCATAACTTTTGACAGAGATGTCACATCGCTTAATGACATACCGCGTTTGAAGCGTCAGTCCAAGCAGATTTTTACCATGAACCAATACACGCCACGCGAGCGCTCTGAAATAGTTGAAATTTACATTCAACAGAAGAAGTCAATTGTGAAAAAAAATGTGTGAAGTGCGCCTTCTAAGAACACCATTAAGCGTTTATACGAAAAATTTTCGACTGGTAAGACTCTTTCTAATCCGAAGAGGCCATATAAAAGTCGACAAAGGCGAGCGGCCGAGAATATCGCTGCCGTACGAGCCAGTGTTGAAAGGTCCCCAAGAACATCCCAAAAACGCCGCTCTCAGCAGTTGGGCATGGCTCGGTCCACTTTACAACGGATTATTCGCATTGATTTGCATTTGTTCCCGTACAAAATTCAATTGACGCAAAGAATGTTGCCTGCAGACAAGCCTCGTCGATTGGAATGGGCCCAAAGAGTCATGGGTCCGTCGAATATCGGCAACCCTGTACTAAGTCTGAATGGAATCGGATGTTCTTTCTGTGCAGTAAAGTATTTTTTTTTTTTTTTTTTTTGGAAAATTTCCTCCTTTTTGTGAAGAGGTACCAGAAAGAGTGGACCAATATTGCCCATCTCCGTACTCGATCTAAATTTGATAATAATATTTCGATGAACCACATTTAGACCAAATCGAATACTCTCTTCGAGAGTTATCGTGCCTATCAGCCAACTAGACAGACAGAAGGACGGACATTGCTAGATCGATTCCCAATTTCCTCTAACGTATTTGGTCCAAGGAGACCTAGGTTCTAAAACCGTTATTTCTATAAGGCACGGATACATACCCTCTCTAGCCATATGGCTGAGGGTATAACAATTTTAAATGTCGAATTTCTGCTTTTCCGAAAGACGTATTTGACGTAGTTGGAACATCTGTTTCGTATTGGTTTCAGATCTATGATGATTATTCGAAAAGAGGAGCAATTGGGCTCAACATTTGATTTTTTATGTAATAGATATGAGGATGTTTCTTAAGGGAATCTTCATTATAATCAAAAGGGTTTCAGATCTATAGAAACTTTACTGCAAATTGTAGTGTTGTAGGGTATTAGATGGTCGGCTTTGTTTACTTTTTAAGGGCATTGATTTATTATAACCTTATCCTTATGACAGCAGAGTGCATATAACATTTGATACCTTCAAAAGGACACCGATCGAAATAACGTTTTGGAGTCGATCTCAGGGAAGGGAGTACCCGATTTGGTAAAAACTTGGTATACCACAATGTACGTAAACATAAATTTAGTTCAGATATGGCCAAAATAAGCTTACTGATTCTGGTACTGACCTCACAAAAGGTCAAAATTTTTCAAAGAATTTTTTTAGTAAATTATTGATATGATGTTCTGAAATGTGTGGACTGATTCTGAAGAAATTTCATAGGTGACAACAATAGCAAGGTTTTGATGTATAAAAGGTCTCTGTAGTATTGATTTACACAGTGTATTTGGAAAATACAACTATAAATGTACTAAAAGTACTAAAGAACAATACATTCGGTACCATTTGGTATTATGTGAACGGATAGAGCTAAAAACTTGACATTTGAGAATAAAGATTGGATAGTACGTTTGATAAATGAAGGTGGTTTTGGAAATGTGTGCTAAGTGTACGAAGTGTACAAAATGGTTCTAAATTATCAACAGTTTGGTTTAAGGTCAATAGATGAAGCTGGAATTTGAAAGCTTTGGTATTGGGAACCCTGTTGAAGGTGGGTTTGTGATAAAGAAGAGGTTTCGGAAATGTGTACTATAATTGTACGAAAAGTACTAAATAGTACTTAATTTGATTTTGGATGAAGGAATATAGCTCAATTTCTGAGATTTGATATAGATATCACTGTTGATGTCTGTCGTAAAGATGTGAAGTTGGTTTTTCAAATGCGTTCTATAATTGTACTAAGTGGTACTAAATTGGGTATTGGGTGAAAAGATGGGGCTGGAATCCTGAAATTTAATATTGAGGTCTCTGCTGTTATCTGGAATTGAGATATAGAGAATGTTTTGAAAGTGCGTACGAAAATAATGAAATGCTACTGAATTTGGTATTTAGTGAAGACATAGAGCTGAAATCCTGAAATTTGATATGGATGTCAATGTTAGTGTCTGTGGTTGATGGAAGGAGTTGGTTTTCGAGATGCGTACAATGAAAATGTAAAATGGAGGAGGTGTAGGACATTTGTAGTTTGGGATTGTGTCTTAGGATAGAACTGGAATCATGAAATTTGATATGGAGGCCTGTTGAGAGAAAGAGGTGGATTTGGGATTGTTTGAAAAGTCCTTAATGGTACAAAAATTTGCCGTTGCGTGAATGGATAGATCCTGGATCCAGAAATTTGATATTGAGACCACTGTTGGTTTCTAGGATCTAGATATGGTGGTAGCCATAAAAACATTTGTTTGGCACAAGGCCCTATTTAAATTGGATTGGAGCCCGAATTGTATTGAATTTTGCACATACAACCAAATTAGGCCTGAAAATAAGTATGCCAAATTTTATCGAAATCGGTTCAGATATAGCTATAGCTCCCATATATATTGTTCATCCGATTTGTTATTTTTGTCCTCCGCAGCCGTAATATGCACTCTGTAACAACAATATTTGGGGAAATATATGAAATGCAGCTCAGAAATACCTTTGCTAAATTTTATCGAGATCGGTTCAGATTTGGATATAGCTCCCATATATAACTTCGTCCGATTTACCATTTATTGTGCACCAAACGTCTAATATTTGTCC